ATCCACGGCATGCAGGGACCAGGCAGACATATCCATGGGCACACGGTCCCTCTGGCTGCACTCCTGGATCCAAAGCATGGAGGCGTCCAGGCAGCCCGTGTCCCATGTCCATAGGGATGTGGCCCCTCTAGATCCTTCACCCAGAGAGGGGAGGGATCCAGGCAGACGTGTCCATAGGGATGCAGCCCCTCTGGATATGCTCCTGGACCCGCAACATGGAGGGATCCAGGCAGACGTGTCCACGTCAGGACTTGAGCGCCGACTCCACCAACCAAGGGAGACTTTTCCTTGCGGAAAAGCCCCTCGGCAGCAGCCCCAGGGGCTTCTTTCCCCCCAGCCGGTCCCACAGGAGCAGCCCGGGCTCCCCAGGCCCCTCTTCCAGCCCCAGCGACCTTCCGGACGCCTCCTCTTCCGTACAAAGGCCTTTATTTGACTGAACAGCAACCAAACAGGCACGTAAGCGGAGCGCGGGCAGCGCAGCAAGGCCGCCGGCACGGACACGGCCGGGACAGCGGGAACACGGAGCCCACCGGGGAGCAAGGGCTGCAGAAGGCGAGAAAATAAAAACAAACCTAAAAAACTCTGCAAAAATAAAGAGATTCTCCTCAAGCTACCAGACTAAGAGAATTAAGAGGGTTTTCTTTTTGTGGGTGGATTAAACGCTGAAGAACCAGGCATTAAAACGGGTACGCAGCTAGGTCCGTTTTCCTGAAGGATGCCTTTAATGTGGTCCATATGATACAAGCCAGCTGAGGGTCCTACACGACTCACTGGGGAGGGGGGACAGGTTTGCACAGACCTGGGGACACAGGCACGTGGAGAAGGGCCAGAGTAAAAAGAGGAAAAGAAAGAAAAATGAAAATAGTAATAAAAAAAGGAGAAGTTGCCGAGACGAACGCCCTGCTTGTGCACTCCTGGTCCCCGCGGAGCCGGGCGCGCGCCGACCCCGCGCGCTCAATGCCCGCCCGCTCATCACCAGCACCCCATCCCGCCGGCTCCAGCTCTGCCTTTCCCCAGGGAAAACCTCCAGCCCTCTTTCCTAAACGCTTTTACTGGAACTCAAAAAAGAGGGGAAAAACCAACACTCCCGGACTCAGATCCACCCCTGCGGGCCGAGGGGCACGGAAAGGGGCCAGGGGACAAGAGACAAAACTCGTCTTGTTTCCRTGCCCCCTGTGGCCGGAGGGAAGCCCCGAACACGGAGGCGTTTCCCACCTTTGCCACCTTTCCGTGGCGGGGACACGGAGCGCGGGCCGGGCCCATGGAGCTCCCTGCCCTCCTTGGCCCCTCCACAGGGGCCCTGCCTGCGGAAAGGTTTCACAAGTATAAAATCAAGTCAAATCACTCAAAGACTCTGAATTTAGGACTACAGAGGCGATTCCGATGGAGACGCGATTCGGAGATGCTAGTTTAAAGTTTCAGGAAGAAGACAGCACTCATTGCAGTAATACCACGGGGGTGGATTCCCTCCCCTGCCCTCTATTTCCTGCTACTCTCGGTGTCTGAGTTATAACACAATGTACATCTGTGGTAAGAACGGCGCGGCCGGGGCGCCGGCAGCCCCACGGCATCAGAAAGTCCATCGGTCGTGTAGGTGGCTGTCGCTGCTGAAGCTGTTGCTGGCTGCGGCCTCGGGGCTCTGCGGCTGCCGGGTCGAGTCCTCGCCGTTCAGGCTCTTGCGGCACACGGGACACGTGTCGTGCTGCAAGGGGAGCGCGGGCTCAGGCCGGCGCCGGCGGCCGCCTTCCCYCGGGACGCCGGCGCCCGCCGCGGCGCCCGAGCTGCTTCCCGCCCTCCCCGGGACCGTTTTCCCGTGGGGATTCGGGCTCCGCTCGCAGCCGGCGGCGCCCRCGGGGCTCAGCCCCAGCACGGAGGCTCCTACCAGCTCCAGCCAGGGCACGATGCAGCTGCTGTGGAAGAAGTGGTTGCAGGGCAGCTGCCGGACCTGCTCCGCCACCGTGTAGTCCTCCTTGCACACCGGGCACTCCAGACCCGTATCTGCAAGACACGCAGAGCCAGGGCACGCTGAGCAGCCCCCACACACTTGGGAATCCAAAGCCCAGGTTTTTCGGGCGCAGGGGAGGCTCGTGCCGCTCTCCGCTGGCCCGGACAAGGGCAGCAGCAGGACAGGGACAGGGACGCACGCGGCTGGCTTTGCTTGGGGACACTGGCAGCAGCGGGCAGGGAGGACATTCCTACTCCTTCCTGGCAAGAGAGGAGGGCGAGGGGGCAGTTCTCACCCCCCAGGGCACAGCACAGTCACCGCCAGCGGGAGGGAAGGAGGCAGCACCAAGTCCCGTCCCGCGGGACCGGCAGCCGGGGGCCTCTCCCGCCTCCGTTCCGGAGGATCCCCGAGCAGAGCAGCGTGTGACGGTCGCCACGTCTGCCAAGGCCCCGCGCGGCTGCGAGCGACGCGGCAGGGACGGCAAAACGCAGGGTCCCTGCCTGGAACCAGCCCCGGGCCGGGGTGACGCTGCCCCGAAGCGCCCCGAGGAGCGGGGACACCCGGCGGTGCCGCAGCCGGCCGAGCCGCGCCGGCCCCGCGGCCGCTCCAGCATTCCCGCATGGAAACACGGGCGCTGCTTGGCTTCCCAGGCAAGAGACAGGCGTGTATAAAAYGAGCCAGACAGAAATATCTGTCATGGAAACAGCCTTTCTAATCAAACAGTGTCCTAATGGAGCATTTTAGTTTCCAGGAATAGCACGGCTCCGAGGGGAAGGGATGCTTTGAGCAGCCTTCAGAGGCAGCCTTCTGCAAACACAGGCAGAGACATCATCTGGAGGAGCTAATTGCAAAACCATAAACGCTACAAAAGCCCCACAGGTTTCCTGCAGGCTGCATTACAGGAACCTGTGATCTCCACATGACATTTCGGGGCTAATTCAGCAGGAATATGATCAGAGCCTGATCTCCCAGCCCTACCGCGAGCCAGCCTGAAAGGGAGGAAAGCAACACGCAGAGCCCAACGTTAACGAGACCATGAACAACAGAATGAACAGGAGCTTTCAGAAAAGGCCAAGCAGTCAGTCATGGCTTTGGTCTGCGCAGCGCTYCGAGCCTGCACAAACAAGCTCTGCACAGCGGAGGTTTTTGCTTTCAGCTCCTGACGGGCTGCGTTGGCAGAGCTCTGGGGTGAGGGGCCAAGAACTGAACACCAGGGACGACAGCAGGAGGAAAGCTGAGGCTCTTTGGAGCTGAAAATCCTGCCTATTTCCATTGCTGAGTGTGGCCAGTGACTGCCGAGGACGGAGCAGTGCTGCCCTCTACCCCCCCAGCTCAAGCAGGCGCCAGGGACGCACAGCGATCCAGCAAAGAGCCTGATCCTTGGCCGAGGGAACAGGGAGCTCTCAGGTCCTAGGAACAGCACTTCCCAGCCCTGCCCTGGCCCGCTGTGCATCAAAGCCTCTGGAGACACGAGGTAGGCACGGGGCACAGAGCAGCAGAGGATACTGAATTGTACCTACCGACTTGTTCCTGAGTTACTGTCACTGTGGGGAGAGATGAGATTTTCTCTTTGTCAGCTGGGGGCGGTCCTGTGTTTTCCAACTGTCCCAAGAGCTGGAAAGAATGAAAAAAGAAAAACACGCTGTGGTTGGGAGCCCCGACACAGCGAGCAGGTGCAGAGYGTCCCCAGCACAAACACGGAGCACCACGGCCTGCAAGAGCAGGGCAGGAGCGGCTCGGCACRGCGTTGGTGCCGCCAAGCCAAAGGGAAGGGCAACGATGGACACGTGGGAGTGGGTTCGTTTAGTGCTGCAGGATAGGGAAGCCAAAGGGAGGCAGTGGATGCGCTGTGAGACCGTGGATGGTCAGGGAACGGTCGGAGAAGCACTCGTGGGAGCGTCACTTGTTGGAAGGCCACATTAAAGTGGGCTGTCAGCGCGCRGCTGCTCCTGCTGGGCGCCGTGGCCGAGCTCCAAGGGGAGCAGAGGACTCAGCTCTTCATCCTCCCCAAGCCACAGGGGGAAATGGCTCCAAACTGCTGGCTTTGGTGGGAGATCCAGGCCTGACACACAGCATTTTCATGCCCAGCAGCTGCTGGGCCTGTTGCAAGGCGCCTGCCACCCCTGCRCCACATTTAGGTTGGCAAAGAGGCAGACTAAGCTCAGGTCCAAGTCCSAGGCCTCAGCCTCCTCCTCTGAGGAGGGCACAAGCAGCTGCCGAGCAGGAGGCCAATGAGCTTCTCCAGCCCTCATCTGAGACCAAGAGCCCTTCTCCAGCAGTGGGGCTGGCGGGTCAGGAGCCCAAGAGAAGGAGACGCAAGAGGCACCGGTGAAAACCAGAGACCAGGGGCTCGGGTTTCCCTCCAGCCGGGCACGCATGGGTCTTACCTGGGTRACAATGGCATCGAGGCCGCTCTGTCCCCACGCATAGTCCCCGGGATTCGAGTGCAGCATCCCACTCCTGCAGGCGGGAGCAGCAGGTCAAGGAATTATTTATGGACACCAAACCRGCGCCGAGGTTCACGTGATGCGCCCAGAGAAACCCCTGGCCAGCAGGGGAACCGGTGACCTGGGGACACAGGGCTGCCGGGTGCCAGACAAGTGCTGCTCGCTGGGCTTGAGGAGCGCCACGAGCAAAGCTGCAAGGCAGCCAGGCTTGCTACTCACCAGGAAAAAGGGTGCTGGGAGCCAGGAATCGCTGAGTTCGCAAAAAAGCCTGCAAAGATCTGTTGTATTATCCTGAAGGGGGGAGGAAAGGAAAGAGAGAAGGAACGAGCTGAGCAAAGCAGCGGGCRGCAGCAGTAACTGTCTGGCAAGAAGGGGCTGCTCCTGCCCCGAAACGCCGCTGCGCGGCTCAGATGCACGCAGGAACCGCGGAYGCTCTTCGGAGAGCGTGGGAGGGCCCGCACAGGGACTGAGTTTCCCAGGCATCGACTTGTCTCCGTGCGCTGCTGCAGCCACCTCTCCCACCACGCGGCTCCTACCCAGCCTGGTCGGTGCCCAYAGGGACAAGGGGCAGAGATTTGGGCGCGAAAACCCACGTTTCAGCGGTGCTGGGAGCCCCCCACCCCCAGCGCAAGGGCCCCAGGTCTGCCCTGTTTCCCTGGGGATTACACGTTTCTTAAGGAAGAGGGAAAGAGGCTCTTCCAGAGGACATCCACCACTCACCCTTCGATAGCAGGAGACCTGTCGGGGCGCGAGCTGCCCCGGGACCGGTACCTCCTCGTCATGGGCAGTCGCGGCGGCCGGCTCGGGCCCCACAGGTCGGCGTGTGCTTGGTGGCCCCTCTCGTTGTCTCTGCTGTCCTGATCCAGTGARTTGCTACTCAGGAAGGGTCGGAAGTCCGGGAAGAACATCGTGTGGTCCAAATGGTCCCAAAGCTGGGGAGACAAAAGCACACACGGCTCTGTTACCAAGCGGGTGGCTCCGTCACGGCGCTGGGTCGGCCGCCCCGCGGGCGCTCGGAGCCGCCGCGCAGACCCGGCCGGCGGAAACAAAGTCCATCGTGACAAAAGCAACTGAGCAAAGCCAGAGGGTTGCCATGGCTCCCAGAAAAGGAGTCTGGCAAATACGCTTAATTATCGCCCTAATTAATCAGCTGTCCYGCCCCCTGGAAGACCAACATGCTGACGCCTTTCTGCCACGCGCAATGCCAACAGGACGGGGATTTTGCCGAGCCACCCCCGGCATTACGAGGGGCTGCCTTCCCCAAAGGGCTGAGGTTTGGGGGGATAACCCTGGATCTGAGCCCGTCCCCAGGGCTCTGCTCCGTCTCCAGCTCATGGCAGGGCAGGATGTGCCCGTCCTCGAGCCGCAGCTCGGAGCCGAGCACCCTCCGGCCCCGCACGCGCAGCCCCCTTTGGTTTCAGCCCATGTGGAGGCCTTTCTCCCACAAGTGAGACTATCCAGGGATTAAAATCACAGCTGATGCTCTGCTAAGGGGAGGGCACCCAAGATTTATGGGTTTGGGATAAAAAAAATTGCAGGCTGTAATAAAACAGGGAGCATCAGACGAGAAAGCGCCGGGGCGCCGCGAGGGAGCCAAGCGCCACTCGCCCCGACCCACTCGCACTCCCTCGAAGGCGGCGGCTCGAGCAGAGCCCTTGGCTTTGCGGCAGGAACTAAACCCGAGCGCTGTTCCCTTCTCAGCCGCTCTTCACCACAGCAGGAGCGGCCGCATTTCCATTGCCCACCAACTCGGCCTCTTTGGAAGCGTCTCGCGGTGCCAGCCGGGCACGGCAGGGAGGGCAGCAGCCCCGTTCACGGCCGCTCTCCGAATCGACACCCCGCAGACGAGGGCTGCGCTCGCTCGCTGCTGCTCRTGATGAAGACGCAGCTCTGCCGGCCCGAGAGCTTCGTTCATTATTAATCCAAAATGCCATTTACACTCGCACAGCGCGAGCTCTCTGCAGACTGACACGGGGGCCCCGCGGAGGGGTCGCCCCACCTGGCTGCGACGCCGGCATTCCGGGGACACCGCGCCGGGAGCAGCGGCAGAAAAGCAACAGGAGACAAACGGAGCCCCGTGAGGAGAGGCAAATCGGCCACAAACACCAGAATGTGGAAGCRAGCAGGAGGGATCCGGATCCGCAGCAGCGCTGCGAAGGAGTTTCTGTTAGTTGGGCCCCCAGCAGCTCCGAGTACTTTATCTACTCGCGAAAATCCTTTTTCTCCTGCTCAAAGAGCAGATCCCTGGCTGCTCTCGGGTCTCCTGACGATGCCAACGGCCCCTTCAAAACAACCCAGCAGGTTCCTGGGGTCTCTCGGGACGGGCCCTTGCGCCAGGGGAGCTGCCGCCRCGCGCGGGGCTCGGAGCAAAACGGGGCCCCACTCACCTCTGCGAACTGCGTGGACGGGCTGTCGTCCAAGCCGCTGCCATCCAGGAAGCTGCGGAGGAAGAGGCGGGTGAGAGCGGCTCGGGGCCGCGGGCACCGGCGCAGGGACGCGGCAGCTCCCGCGCGGGAAGCGGCAGCTCCCGCGCGGGAAGCGGAGCATCCCCGTGGCGGGAGCAACCCTGTATCAACGCCCGGAGCCAGGCGCAGGGAAGGGCAGGGGTCAGGGTGAACGTGTCCCGGATGCGGGATTCCCTGGCGCTCCGTGGGAACCCGCGGAGCTGCTTCCTAGGGACAGGAAAAGGAATGCTGAAGCTAAAGGGCTCCATGAGTGGGAATGGTGTTAGGTGCTCCGAAGGATCCCTCCTGCCCTAGGTGACAGGTTCACACCTACATTTAAGGGAAGGACAGTATGTGCCATGAYATCACGGCTCCAGTGGCAACAGGCCCGATTCCTGCAGCGGGAATTCCCAGATCGCCAAGGATCACGGAACCGCCGTCGCCCTTTCGCCTTTGCCTGACCCCAACCCAAACCGAGCGCTTTGCTCAGCAGTTATTCAAGGCTGAACACAGTAAATAGAGCACTGGGCAGGCAGCCCTYGGGATACAGGGCACTGGGCAGGCAGCATTTGGGATACAGGGCACTGGGCAGGCAGGATTTGGGATACAGGGCACTGGGCAGGCAGSATTTGGGATACAGGGCACCGGGCAGACAGCATTTGGGATAGAGGGCAGGTAGAATTTGGGATACAGGGCASCGGGCAGGCAGGATTTGGGATAGAGAACAGGTAGAATTTGGGATACAGGGCACTGGGCAGGCAGCCCTYRGGATGGCAGCGTGTCCCGCAGGGCGCCTCGTACCGCTCACGCGGCCTCAGGAAAGGCACCTCCTCAAAGGCACCATCTGAGCGCCGGGCAGGAGAGCCTTGTGGCTCGACACGGGTGAAAAACAAGGTTAACTCACTGAAATTTAAGCTTGATTCCTAAAAATAATAGTGATTTTTGCTCTATTGGAGCAAACAAGGAGACCTCAAAACCCCGTAAGAGGTTTTGTCCATGGGACCCTGTTCTGCTTCAATTTAAAACTCCCCTCGTACCAAAAACCCTCCCTCAGCCCCTCAGGTGACTCCAGCACGAAACAGGGGCTCCTGTATTTCAGTTCCATGCGGCACGCGGCGTTTKGAGACGAGCTTTTCCTTCCCATCTTTGCTCCCCGTTTTGTCCTCGGCGTCGGCAGCGCCTGGGACCTCCGTGTGCGCTAAGACGAGCGACGCGTGGCCCGTCCCTTACCTGGAATCRTCCGTGACTTCTTCGATAAAGCCGGACTCGCACCTGGGACAAGTGTATTCCTGTGGAGAGAGAGCGAGGCGGCGTTAGCTTGCAAATCCAGGGAAGGGGCAGCGCATGGACACGGAGCACAAGGACCTAACGCGGATCCTGGGCTTCCCCAATCTGCAAAGGCATCCGGGATTTTGGTTTTATTGGGGGACCTGGAAGCCCTGTGGTGCCGGCAGGTACAAACAGCCACAAGTGACGATTCCGGAGCAGAAAAAGGCCGTTACCGACGTCCCGCACGGTGAGCGGCGGCCCCAAGGGAAGGATAAGGGCTCCTTGCCGCCCTCCCCTGCCCCGGGCAGGGTGTCGAGGAGCCCGCGCGGTGCCACCCGCTCCCGGTTGGCTCTGTCCCCTGCCCAAGGTAGGAGCCCAGAGCAGCGAGAGGAGGCTGGGTCCGGCTGGATCCACAGGGTCGGTGCCGCTGGCTCCATGCTGGGACCTCACGCCGCACCGCAGCCCACACGGACGGTGCCGTCAGCAGCAGGGGACATCCCAGGGGCTTTTCCCCCTCCTCCAGGCACTTCCATGAGCAGGAAGAGCCCAGGAGAGCCAGGCAGCCGTTATGGGCACCGGCACCTGCTCTGCCCCTCGGCGGCCTCCAGATTCACGGATCTGCTTCAGTTTAGGACAAGGCACGGCCCAACCCCGAGGACTCCCTCCGGATCCGCCCTCCGGCTGTGCACCAGGGCAGGGAGCAGCTCATTCCCAGCAGGGATTTTCACCCCAGAATTTTGGGAAGAGTGGGAAGCTCTTCCCATCTCACCGGGGCTTTTGGGAGTGCAGATTATCCCCGGCAAGGGAGCAAACCTAGTTCAGAGGGTACCACGATCCCCCTCGTTTTAGTTGGAATGCCGGCTCTAGGGATAGCACACACTGGGAAAAAAAAGGAACAAATGGAGATGGCAAATGCGTACAGGAATGGTGAATTAGTATGTTGAGGCTGAGGCTTTGGGCAGAGGCAGAGCCGGGAAGGGATTCCCRGGCTCCCACGCAGCGCCCAGCGGGAGCGTTTGAACAGCCTGGGTGGGAAACGCAGCTCCCGGGACACAAGAGCTCACCCCGCAATCCCGGCCCATAAGAAAGTCCTTCCCAATCCGGCAGCATGCCGGTGAGCAGGAATGCGCTGCCCTCCCAGGCCGCCGGAGCTGCAGGGACACGGCGGCAAAATCCCAGCGGAGCCGCCGGCCAAGGGGGTGCCGGGATGGGCTGAGCCCATGGGGTTAAACTGCACCCCAGCTCTCGTCCTTCCGCAGACGGGAATGTTGGCACCGCCGGTGACAGACAGCAAGAGGCTGCCGCGCTGGGGCTTCGCCGGCCGCTTCTGGAAGCTTTTGGAGCCTTTTTTATGTTATAATCCGCACGGAAATTACCAGTGTCCTGCCCGAAAGCTCGACTACGGAGTCAGAGCTTGAACGGAGATAAAAGCAGCCTGTGGGATGAAGGGCCGTGAGGAGGCACCGAGCGGTGCCGCGGAATGGGACGGGAGCCGGGGGCCAGAGCCCCCGCCGTCACATCCCGGCTTTTCCGAGGGTCCCATGGTGCTGTCCCTGACAGCTCTATCCCTGCTCCGGGCTTGTTGGGCGCCGCGTCCTGGGAACCGCCAGCCCCGGGTGCCGGGAGCCCAGGGTGTCGCGTCCCACAGTGCCAAGGGAAAGGCTTCCCTCCTGCCATCCCATCCCTCCGGCTTCACCTCGGGCTGGCCGTCCGCATCGTCCAAATGGAAGATAAACCGAAATCCCGGGAGCGGCCGGACCCTCGGGCAAGCGGGACCCTCGGCAGGATGCCGCTGCATCCCGCTCACCAGGGCCGCAGGGCAGGCAGGAGGCAGCCGGATGATCCCRAAGCAGCCAGAGGCTCCGCAGTGCCAGGGAAAGCTGTGGCAGAGCGTGCCGAGCGGCCAGAACCGCACGCGCCCYCAGAAGCATCACGGAAATTTGGGGAGCGTTGGGATGTTTGAACCTAACGGCCTCCCCAGCTTCCTGGAAGAGGGAGGGCTGCTCCGCACGCCCTCATTTTCCATTGCCTTTTACCTGAGCCTCGTCCCTTGGCGCCGGGCACARATGCAAGGCTCAAATGTCACGGGCAGGTAGTTTTACGCACGAGGGGGGTTGTGTGTTCCGCTAGGGGAGAGCGAAGCCGCCGCTGCCATCCCTGCGACGGGCGCCGCAGGACGACGTCGCTCGCGCCCGCAGCTCCCACCTGCCCCAAGGCCCGGCCTCGGAGCTGCTTCCTCCGGAGCAGGGACAGGGCCCGTGTCACGGGCAGAGGCGCCCGCCGCTATAAATATTAACGGCTCCGTCACCGGTGGTGCCGCTCTGCGCATGGGGCCATCGAGCACGCGGCCCGGCCGCACGGCACCGTCAAGGACTCGTCGGCTGCTGCGGCGGCGCCCGGGCGCGCAACGAGGCTGGGAGACGCGAGCAGCGCCCGCGGGCGAGGCGGCACCGCGGGGACGGGAATGCGACGAGGGGCTCGGGCCCAGCGCAGCACCCAGGCTGCTGCAGGAGCCCAATGTCCTGCCTGGCCCTTCCCCGCGGGCCCCTCCACGTTAGGCCAGGCGCAGCCGCGTGGCCGGGACCCGCCAAGCAGGTCGGGCTCCCGCCAAGCCCGGGGCTCCCGTCAGCCCGGAGGCGGCACCGAGGGGCTGCACGAAGCGYTCGGCCCTTCCGCAGGGCTTGTCCGCATCCCGGGGCGTCCCGGAGCCTTCGCCCGGCCCGCGGCTGCCGTCGTTGCGGCCGGAGCAGCGAGCAGGCGGGAGCCGAGCTCGGCCGCGTCGCTCCGGCAGGGACACAGGGAAAGGCTGCCGGGCCGGGCGGACGGAGTCGGGGGATATGGACACGTCCTGCCCTCCATGAACAGCTCCAGCTTCTGCCRGACAATCCACAGCTCGGGGCTCCGCAGCCCCGGGAATTGCCCTGCTGGGGTAACAGGAGCTTTCCCAGGGAAAACCTCCTCCGAAGGGCACTGGGCTGCGCTTCCCTTCACAGCAAGGATGCCGAAGAGGCGGCCTTGAGGACGAGGCCCTCAGGGATGGATGGGGGGCAGGAACCRTCCCACTCGCAGCTGCAGGGAATGGGGGGACATCGGGTGCTCCCGGCCCCACATCCAGAACGGAAAAACCTGGGAGTTCTGCAAAAACTGAAGCAATTCCTTAGCTTGGCAGGCCCAAGCTCCAAAGGGATTATTCGTGCAGCACGGGCAGGATGCAGCTGTGCTTCTCCCTGCATTTCCACCCGTGCTTCTAGAACCGGCATCACCCGCGCGGCTCCGGGAGCCGAGAGCGGCATCAGAGCGGCGGGGACGGAGCCGCGGGAGCCCCGCGGGCGCCAGCACCGAGCCGGGTTTCTGGGCGCTCTCGAAATAGAAACTGGAGCGGACGCACGGGGAGCGGCGGCCGAGGCGCCCTGCCCATGTCGGCCTCACGGAGCGGGGCCTCCGGCGCGGCCGCCTCGGGAAGCGGCTCCTCCAGGCCGGGAAGGTGGCGGGGGTGGCCGTGGAGGCACCTCCCGTGGGGGCCTTGCAGGACAAAACCGGCTCCGGGCGACCCGGGAGCACCGGGGATCCGCGTCTGGGCACGAGGGGCCTCGACAGCTCTCGGGCAGCAGCACTTCCGCAGAAAACAGAGCTGGAAACACTGGAAAACTGCTCCAGTCGGCAGGATGGGGGGGTGCGAAGGGAGGGCTGAGCACAGTTTGGGAGGCAGGAGGGGAGGGAGACAGGGCAGGCCCCCTGGCACACAGGGCTGCTCCAGCCAGTGATCCTGGGAAGGGCCAGAGATCCCGGGAAGAGGCCAGAGATCCCGGGAAGAGGCCAGCTCCAGGCTGGGCCCCCTCCGCACATCCGCACGTGGAGCCGCTGCAGCCGGCAAGGCGGCACCGGGAACAGCGGCGGCTCCAACGCGCTGGAGCAGCAGCGGGGGAGAAGCGCCGGGACACAGGGCCGGGGTGCCGGGATGCCAGGACACCCGGGAGGCGCCGGGACGCGCCGGCCGCGCTGCGGATGCAGCCCCAGCAGCCGGGACATCGCCCTCGGTGCCGCCGCTCAGCCGGGAAGGACACGGACACCAGGGGGTCATTCCCTGCCTGGGAATCCGGGAAGGACACGGACACGGGGGGGTCATTCCCTGCCT